CAGGCGCCTTTGACGGGGCGGAGGAGGCATGTCCGGGGCACGTCCACGACATGTCCGAGACATGTCCACAGGCGCCTTTGACGGGGCGGAGGAGGCATGTCCGGGGCACGTCCACGACATGTCCGAGACATGTCCACAGGCGCCTTTGACGGGGCGGAGGAGGCATGTCCGGGGCACGTCCACGACATGTCCGAGGCATGTCCACAGGCGCCTTTGACGGGGCGGAGGAGGCATGTCCGGGGCACGTCCACGACATGTCCGAGACATGTCCACAGGCGCCTTTGACGGGGCGGAGGGGCGCGAGGCAGAGGCCGAGGCGGCGCGAGATTACATCGAGGCGCAGTTCGCGACGGACTCGGCAAGTGGCCAATCTACCCATGCCTCTCGGCTCGATCTCGGCTCGATCTCGGCTAGGCGCTCCTCGCCAAGGACGTCGGCAACCGGCCGCTCCACGTGATCCACGAGCTCTGCAAGCTGCTCGCGAGATCGGCAGGCCGCCGAGGACTCTTCTCGGAACCTTCCCGTCTAGGTGATCCACGAGCTCGGCAAGCTCTCGCGCTCCTCCGCCCTCGGCCTGGAGCCGGTCGCCGCCGCGCAGATCGACGACCGGCTGATGAGGCTCTCGGGCTGACTATCTCGGCTGACAATCTCGGCTGCACCTCGGCTGCACCTCGGCTGCACCTCGGCTGCACCTCGGCTGCACCTCGGCTAGGCTCTCGGACATCCTCGGCGGCTGCGAGCGGCTGATGCGGACCCCAATGTACAGCGGCTCCACCACGCACACCTCGCGCTTCCTGTACGTGTGGTGCGCCTCGCGCCCACTCCCCAGATCTCCCAGATCTCCCAGATCTCCCAGATCTCCCCATATCTCCCTCGGTAGGTGCGCCTCGCTCCCGCTCTCCCCATATCTCCCCCCTATCTCCCCCCTATCTCCCCCCTATCTCCCCCATATCTCCCCCATATCTCCCCCATATCTCCCCCATATCTCCCATAGGTGCGCCTCGCTCCCGCTCGTCATGTGCCGCAATCTCGGGCAGTGCGCGCCGCGCCTGTGGACGGCGTCTCTTCACGGCTGTGCTGTGACA